TTATTCTCACCTTGTTAAAACGGGCGAGGAAGTCCCTGAGTCCCTCGCCAGGCGATTGCCTAACGACGAATATGTCATTCACCCTGGCTTCCGCCTTTTTATCCCCTACATGAGTGGTGACAAATTTGTTGGCCATTTCCTCGAACGTTGCTATTGACCGTGCCGACAATTGTGAGTACCAGGTTAGGGCTCCCCCTATTGGGGTTTCGCCGAACTTTTTCAGTAGCACCGATGGAACTTCCTCCTTCGAAAGATCGTTTCCCTTCACCGTTGTGGCGTAGTGGACGATATGATCTTCTGGGTCTTTAGTGCCATCGTATATTTTCAGGTACGGTGGTATTTTGAAGGTTTTGGGAATGGCATGGAGAGTTGCTTCCTCGTTGTACAGTTGTTCGACGAATCGGCCAACGTTTCGTTTCGGTAGCAACTTTGGGGCACCTGGTATCTTATCGACCCTTTCTTGATGCTCCTTCATATGGTCACAGAGTGCCTTTTTTCGTTTTCCATATCTTCCATTTTCTTTAGAATGGCTGCGAGTGCGTCATTACCTGCATAAGCAGTAGTGTAAGTGTTACCTGTTTGGTGGACGGGCTGTTCGCCAGTGGTTGTTGTGATATCTACTTGTGAGGTGTTTCTATTCTCCCTTTGGACGGGTTTGTCGAGTATGTTGTTTACAGTACTTGTCAGCCACTCTTCCAGTAGTTTTTTCACTACCGGTGGTGCTTCCTCAGTTATTGACGTGGAGGCTCCTCTTTCGCATGAAGCTGTTACGCTTTCGCGAGGGGGAGGTGAGACGCTCCGCCTGGGCGTAGCATTTGGTGTCGCGTTCTCGTTGTCTTCCCCGCCATCTTCGTTGATGGTGTTTAAGATGTTGGTAGTGACACCTACTATCGTTTTCAACCTCGTGTCTTCTTTTCCTGCCATTGTTAGTTTGTGCAAACGAGGAAGAGATGTCTTTCTTTCTTTCTTTTTTTATGATCTAGAAAGAACTATAGTTTCAACTAAAAAGCTCCCCACAGACGACGCCAAATTGTTTTAGCAAAAATTTACTAAACCAATCAAGAATAAATTAGTAGGGTGAATCTCAGTTGAACTTAATAAATCCTAGATCCAGTAAAACAAAGTTCTTATATGACGAATTAGGCTTAGGAACATTAAATGACGAATTTAATATGGTATGATTGGCAGGACATGCAATATCATAAATGTATAATAAATGCAAGAATGATAAAGGCTATAGTGTAAAGGAATTGTCACCCAATGACTGTGCGATTGGGTGTTTCCTTTCTCTGATGACGTGGAAAGGTAAATAATCAATCTGAGTTATGGGATCTTGAGATTTGTGGATAAAGATTGAACATTATGTGCTTGAATAAAGGGAATAAGACAGCTCTTTCGTGTATTCTTCTCTCAACTTTGCAATATGTCCCATTTCTCAAAAAGGACAGATCCCCATTTGTTCCCCATCTCTCCCTATTTATAAGGAACATTCCCCAAAAAATCCTAAAAAGTACATATAAAGAATATCCAAGGGAATACTTCCTGTCTATTTCTGAGTTTAAGTTACCGTTACTATCCTATACCAGCTGCCTGCTTCTAGTCGTCGACCTTCATTTGGACGGCCGTCAGTTTATGTGTCGTGGTCAACCCCGTCCTATGTTTTGCTTATCCGTTATCGTGGTTACCAAATTTGGACCTATACAGTATCAGCGTTATTTACACTATACTGTTTTTGCTATGACAGTTAGTTACTTTTGCTTCCAATTGTATGTACAATTCTATTTTCTGGTATAGAAGGCAAGGGTATATCCTCCTTCTCCATATGTACTCTTTTTAAAAGTGGCAATAATAGCGTGTCTCGTTTTTAAAATAAATAAATAAATAAATAAAATTAAAGTAAGATGTGAAGATGAAAACGGTGCTACCAAAATGATTATAGAGTAGCTCTCCATTAAAATTTGTAACACACAAACTGTTACGGATTTTATACGCAAGAGAACTTTCAAAATGTGTTGTGAAGGCGACCAAAAAGAATTTTGAGAAGCAGTCAAAACGGTACTTTTATTAGTCTTTAAATCTTCAATCAAAATCAAGAAGAATTATGAAAATAGTGTATAGATTACGAATCCGACTTTTATTTCTATCCACACAGATGCACCACTAGTCAAATAGGGAGGCTTAAGAAATAGATATTTGAAAGAAGACAAATTAATTAAGCGCATCTTCAATTGAACTCGACGAATTGTGTTTGGTTTCAGAGGTTCTTTTCGAAGATATTCTTCACTCATAATAAAATAAAAATAATAACATAGATAGAAGTGTATGAACAATCTTGTCTTGTTTTTCTTTTTCTGAATGGAACAATGCCATGTTTAGAAGTATACAAGCTCAGAATTTCAATTGTACACATGGTAAAATTTCGTCAATATGCCGATTCGATCCTCTTTTTTTTTTTGTTGCTAATCAGAGAACATTTATTAAAAGCAGGAAATTAAGTAGCGTTATTACGACATGGAATTGATCCTAACGATTCAGTCCCTAAATAGTCTTTGCAGAATATTAAAGAAGCAAATAAAGGTGGTTCGTCCCAAAATAAGTCTTCGCACTCAGCATAGATATGTAAGTTCCACGTACTCCCAGAGTTTGCTAAGGTATGCGTCACTTTGTTCCCTTCATGGTAAATGTGCCTAACGGTCAGGTGGTCCATTGCGGCGATGAGGAATGGGCAGTCATATAGAAGATTAACATAAGCTTTTATATCTATAGTGAGTTGCAGTAAGGAGATTAATATATGGAAGTTCGTCTCCACTATTAGCGGAGTTTGATTTTTTGTTTTGAAAGTGAGTTCCAATCCCTTGAGTAGGCAACTATTTCAACATGTAGTGGCGATGAAGCAAATATATGGCTAGAGAATCCAGTTTCCATCGGAATCTCTGATGATTCTGCTTGCTCCTCTTTTATTGGAATTATTTTTATGTGCACCATATATATTTAGTTTATAGATGTTGGCTGGTGGTGGTGTCCACCTGATGGGTATTTTGGTGAGTTGTGTATTTGGATTTTTGTGGTTGGTAAGGTAGAGATATTCCAGTGCGTAAGCAATTGCTTTATCACTGTTTATTATTATAGAAGAATTGTTAAAGATATTGTGATTGCGGTTAAGCCAAATATGCCACAGTATTATTGGTGTTAGAATTGATAAAGGGATTTGTGTGTTATTGGGTAGGTTAGTGTTGGTTTTTGATGTACACATATTTTTTATCCAGTCTAGTGGATTAGATATTGGTGTATTAATGTTTAAAATTCCCCAAATAGAGAGGTTCTTTGGGCAGGAAAAGAATATGTGGTGCATGTCTTTCTCAATGCCACAGTGAGGACAATGATTTGAGGTTATTATGTTCCTTTGGTTGAGTATTGTGGCTATTGGAAGTCGTTGGTGTACTAGAAGCCATAAGACGGTTTTTAGTTTGTTGTGGCATTGTGCTTTCCAAATCCAATTATGGTCAAAGTTGCCGGTTATTGGGTTTGTCCCATAAAGTTAGAGGAATAGCATGTATACAGATTTAGTTGTGAAGACTCCATCCATTGTTTCTTTCTAGAAGAAAACATCATCTACAGAGTCGGAGAAGGGTATATATGTTTGGGACACAATTTATGAAATCTCTAGAGGGAGGTTATAGGGTTATGAAATCTCTAGAGGGAGGTTATAGGGTAGTGTCTCTAGATTCCAGCTTTTATTATGGATAATATGCGAGAGGTTTTTATTAAAATCCTCTTTGTTTAGGGGTCCTTCCACTAAGGCTTTTACTATCTGGAGGTAACTTAAAATAGAAGTATGCCAAAATATCTTTTTTAACTTCATGATAATTTCAAAGTTACACTTGTGAGAAATTACCTTCATTTGACAGAACAGTAAAAAAGTTAAACCCACGCGGGAACCAAACTAAAACAATCAAACCTAGTTCTTCTCACATGTAAAAGCAAACAGCAGACAAGGATAAATGAAAAGTTGGGAAAAAAGATCTTTTCAACATAGAGAAACTTAAAAACAGTGGAATCCGAAAAGGCTGGAATTTTGCCTGGATTCTTAATCAAGACCAAGTTTCTTCTTCAGCTCTAAAATGAATTCAGAAACTTTGTACTGATCAGATAATTAAAGAAGTTGAAACACTTTACTTTTGCATGCATCTTTTAGGCCAGGCCACAAGTTTAGGACACTTTACTTTTGCATGCATCTTAATCATGTTGAAGTTTCTACATGTTTCAGAGGCATAAAACCAGCTATATATAGAAAGATACAAGAACAATGTCCACTACACCAAATTGATCTCCTCGATAGAAAGTTTTCCCCCTAGCGAGGGGCGGATGTAGTGTATTACCACGGCCTCAATTGAAACCCTAACTTTCGACACTGAGTAAAACTTTATATGTAAAAATTCATTAAAATTGTAAAAATAGTAGATATAAACCCATAACTTTAAAAATATGATGGTGCTAAGAACTTTAAAAGTTGAACCTATAGAGTTTAAATCCTGGATCCGCCTCTGCTAGCAATATTGAGTGGTCACTTAATCCCACATGTAGAGTAAAATATTCTTGAATTATCTCAACATATTTATTAACGAACATTTGTTCTGACTCCATGTAAAGTCAGTTGTTAGGGTTTTATTCTTCTAGACAGCAACCAGTAAACCCCACACACAGTATAATTCTACTTGGATTGCAGAAGACTGAAAAATGATCATGTAAAGAAAGGTATGACTGACTACTTACTCTTCTGCTGATTAAATGGCATATTCTAAGCATTTTGTTCCCTAAAACTTCCCTCATTAAAGGGAGAACATAGAGAGTTACTTTCATGTTCTCAGACAAGAGGCAGAGCAAAAATTTAATTGAACACTTAAGACCTGCTCTCTTATAATATAGCAACACTTTATGTGACCAGAAGATTATCAAATAGTAATGACATGTTCTAATAGATGAAGAGAGGAGAAGACAAGAGATATAAAGGAGTGGTCTCTTAGTAGGAAAGTAAAACCTGCAAATCTTACATTATTCATTGTATAAAATGCCAAGTAATAAACATCATTTTACTACTTGCTACATAAAGCATATCATCAACACAAACACAACCTTTCAATTTTCCTTCTAATTAAAAAGAAAGGAAAATGAATAAGAACAATAGATGTCTAACAGGTTGAAACACTTAGAACCTAAATAAGTGGATTCACAATATATGTGATCTTATTATATGTATACTTTTAATTACGCAGAACCCACTCTAGATCCGTCTTTTGTCGCTTAGGCAATGTCCCACAGCTGTCTCAACATCACAACAAAATCATAGACTTTGTCAGGGTCAACAAGAGACTTTGAGACACTCTCCTTTTGCATACACCTCTTAGCCCATGCCACAATCTTAGGACACTTTGCCTCTATGCTAAACTTGCCAAATTTCTCGTAAGTAGGGAACCAACAATAGTAAGGAATAAGGGTCATATCCACAAACCCAAAATTTTCCCCTCCAAAGCATGGCTTGTCTCCTAACTCCCCTTCCAATAACTTCCAGCACTCTATGAATTCTTTATTGGTTGCATCTTGATCCTCCACTTTTGATGTCCAAATTTTCTTTCCGGTGTCATAAATCTGCAATCTCCCAAAAAATAAATAATAAAAGAAGATTATATCTTTTTCTACCAAATTTAGCTCGTAAAAATACAACCTTCCAATGAGGTGAAAATAGCAAGGCTAGCCAATTTTCGGACTGGTAATCGAAAAATAGCCAGCGTCTGCAAAGTCATTAAAAAATAGCCACTATTTTATGCGAATATAAAATTTGAACAAAAATATTCTAGCTGAAACACGGAAGTTCCAGCATAATATGCTTGATTATGGAGCTCCTGTGTAGAAACTTACACCATATTATGTTGGAACTCCAGCAATTATGAAATTCCAGCACATTGTGCCATAATCTTATATTTAAAAAACTCCAGCATATTATGTTTCTTCGGATTTTAAAGGTGTTTTTGTTCAGATTTTATCTTTACATGAATAATGGTGAATTTCGATTACTTTTGAAATTGTGGCTATTATTCAATTACCAATTGTAAATGTGACGATCCGACCCGTCGTCTCATGAGAACCGCTCCGTTTCCCCCATTTCCTGCTTCGTTATGCTTCATTATCAGTGTCTTGTGTGAACAAGTTGAATTGGGTTGATTTTTGGAAGGAAATGAGACACTTAGTCTCTTTAAGGAAGGCATGTTTTGGAAAAGTCAACCGGATGTTGACCTATGAGTTAGAGGGCTCGGATGTGGATTCCGACGATTCGGTTAGCTTCGGGGATGATTTGTGACTTAGGAGTGTGATCGGAAGTGATTTTGGAGGTTTGGCGTAGAATTAGGCTTGAATTGGCGAAGTTAGTATTTTGGCGAATTCCGGTTGATAGGTGAGATTTTGATCCGAGGGTCGGAATAGAAATCCGAGAGTTGTTGTAGCTTCGTTAGGTTGATTTGGGATGCATGTGCAAAATTTCAGGTTATTCGGAGGTGATTTGGTTGGGTTTTTGATCAAATGCGTGTTTCGGAAGTTTTAGAAGAACTTAGGCTTGAATCCGATGTAAATTTGGTGTTTTGATGTTAGTTTTGGTGTTTTCAGAGTGCAACTAAGTTTGAATGATCATATGTGACGTGTCAGTATTTTCGTATGCGGTCACGAGGAGCTCGGGTGAGTTTCGGATAGGTTTGGGCTGCATTGTGCTCGTTTTTCTTATGCTTCGACGTCGTTTCTTCAAGCATAAATGATATCATATTGAACAAATGAGCTCCGATTACTGTTTTGAATGAAGCATTAGATCTGTATCGTAATTATGGACCCGTAGCAAAAAGTATCGTCAAATTTGGACATCGTATGAGGATTTTATGGCCATATTACCAAGGTTGCCCAGATTTTCAGGTTAATGACGAAATTGCCCCTGACGGCGTATTAAAAACCTACACTATTTGCAAATCTTAAAACCTACATATCTCCTTCATTATAAGGTCAAATTGAGTGATTCAAATGCCTAAATTCATTAGAATTTGACAAGGAATCCATTGGGAGCAGTAAAACGCGTGAACAGTATACCTATAATGAGCAGGTCGAGTTTTCTTCCAATTTTTGAACGAGAAGAAGTTGCTGAGGCGGTTTTTAAGAGAGAAAATCAGTGGATATCACAGAGGTAAGTGATTTGATTATTATAACTCGTTTATGGGTGATTATAGATCATAATCCCAGCCTTTAATTCATGAAAAATAGTAGAAAAATAGGATTTTGGGGCTTGAGATTATGAGGCCTTTAGGGGTCGATTTGAGGGGTCAAACGGACTCCGATTTTGGTGTTCTTTATATGTACGGAATCGGGAGAAGATGAAGAACACTTTTCTGTAAAACAATTTGAGTTTCGAGAAGTGGGCCCGGGGCTCGGGTTTTGTCAATTTCGGGGTTATTGATGTTTTTCGATTATTTTCGATTGGGTATTGATGCTATAGCATAATGTGACGTATTCGTTGTGGTTTTGGTCAGATTCGACGCGCGAGGAGGTCGGTTTGAGAGGCAAGGGCATAGCGAGCTAGGATTTTGGCCGGCTTGAGGTTAGTAATAGATGTAAATGCTGTATTGAGGGTTTGAAACCCCGAATTTGCATTTTGTAGTGCTATGTTGAGGTGACTTGCACGCCGGATAACGGGCGTGGGGTAGAGCACCGTCGGGGATCGTGACTTGGTCCGTCCCGCTTAATAAAATTACTACCTAATTGATTGAAGCTTAGTGAGATCCTTATAAAAATGGATTAATTGTCATAATTTGGCCTCGTGCCAACTGATTGAATCCTTCAGGGATTGTTTTTACTGGTTTCTTACCATATTTTCAGACAATTGAACTCAGTCCTAGTATTTAGTACTGTTTTGCAAACTCAGCCACTTTTTCTCAAAACTTGGAACTTAAATAATATTTCTAATGAAGTTTGGGCTGAATATTTCTATATTATTGTGCCCGAGGGGCTTATATGATTCTGGACTGAGTATGGGATCGGGTTGCGCGCCGCAGCAGTATTATATTGATATTGATATGAGGCTTAGGGTCTAATGGATGCCACGAGATGGCTTGATATTGCGCTTGGGCCGTAAGGGGCCCCTCCCAGAGTGCACACCCCCAGTGAGCGTCGTCGACGATAAATAAATGGAGCGGGCTGCACGCCGCAGCGGGTACTAGAGAGTACCGTACTATTTGTTGCATGTCTTAATTGATTGTCATTCATTTACTTATCTGTTGCAGCATCATTGTTTTCATTGGTTTATTGAGTTGACATTATCTGGATTAAACTGCTGTAATTATAGCTTACATTGTGCCTATCCAGGATTTCTTACTCTCCACCCTTATTTATGTTTATTACTCTCTGGGTTGGAAGTACTCACATTACTCACTGCACCTTGTGTGCAGATCTATGTGCACCCACTGAGGTTGAGTGAGGATTTCTCTGCCGAGCATCATATCTGGGAGCATCAAGGTAGTTGCATGACGTCCGCAGTCCTGATCTTCCCATCTAACCTATTTGCTTTATTTCCGCATTTCTTTAGAGCAATATGTAGTAGGTTGACACCCGTGTATTAGAGGCTCAGACTTGTGAAACCGGATTCTTCGGGCTGTGTAGTTGTATTTCTACTTGGGTTTTCCGCATGTTTTAATTATATTTCAGAGTTTCAGTATTATGACTTAGTAATTATTTGTGTTAATTGAATCATGAACTGTATAAAAAGGGTTAAGGTTGTTGAATTGGTCGGGCTTGCCTAGCAATGTGTTGGGCACCATCACGACCGGGGTTGGGGTCGTGACAGTAAATCAGGCTATTTTTATTTTTTTTCCCCTCGAATGTGCGCAAGTATGGATAAGTTGGACTGGTCGTATATTTTCATTAGCAGGTTAGTTAGACATGACTCAAATACAAAATAAGTTTTTCGATTGATTGGTTAGATTTAGTCACGATAAATAAATAAAAAAACTCTAGTAGTTTAGTTTGATAATTGAACAAATAATAAATGAGCAAATACACAAATGAAAAATGATTTTAAGTTGGACGAGTTGGGATATGGTCATATGATCCATTGTTTAGCTCAAATTGATCCGTCCATCTTTGACCAATCAAAATTAATTTAGACAGACAACTGTCTTACTACCTTGTATGTTTATTGATTCAACCCGAATTTAATTTACCTAATTTAGTACAGCTCGTCCATTTGGTACTCCTTATCTCTTCATTGACATTTTATATAATATTAATCTTGAAAATTGACCAAAAACAATAACAAGAACTATGTTTCAGTTCCAAACAAGTTGGGTATGAATTCTACCACAATTCTCCATTTAAAAATGAGGAATTTTCATAAACCACTATTGTTTAGCGGCTATTAACTTCCTATAGCTATCATATACATAATTACTTCCTATAGCTACTATTCAGTTGTTACGGTAGTGTATTCGCTATATTCGTGTTGCTGTATTTATGAATACAACAGCAAAAAGTGCCTAAAAATTAGGTAGTCCAACTGTACGCGCATGTATTCACATTCACGCCATGTATTCTTGAATACAGCAGCAAAAAACGCCTAAAATAAGGGTAGTCCAGCTGTACGCGCATGTATTCGCACCATGTATTCTTGAATACAGCAGCAAAAAGCGCCTAAAATAAGGGTAGTCCAGTTGTACGCGCATGTATTCACATGTATTCGCGCTGCTGTATTCATGAATACAGCAGCAAAAAACGCCTAAAATTAGGGAATGTCGAGCTGTACGCGCATGTATTCTTATGTATTCGCGCTATGTATTCATGAATACAGCAACAAAAAGGGCCTAAAATCAGGGCAGTCCAACTTTCGTGCATGTATTCACATGTATTCGCGTTGCTGTATTCATGAATACAGCAGTAAAAAGTGCAGTCTAGCTGTATGCGCATGTATTCACATGTGTTCGCGCCATGTATTCTTAAATACAGTAACGAAAATCACCTTAAAAATAGGTATGTCCAGTTGTCTAAGAGGGATAAAAAATATAAATATCGTATTTCATACCTTGTTTCATGCCTCAACGGTAGTATATAGCATAAATACTTATTTTGCTATCAAATATAAAAGGTAGCTATAGAAAATAATATTTTAAAATAATTTTGATTTATAATAAATAGGATGTATACCTTTGGTATAGGAGGTAAAATTTCCTTTAAAAATCTATCTAAGCCCAACATTCATAGAATAAAACAAAGAATAATAGAAATTCTCTAAAAGACTCTTAAAAGCATTGAATCTATAGTAAAACATAATAAGATGACTTAAAACATATATTTTGTGATATTTTGCATACCTTTTTGTCAATATAATCAGCCCAAAACCTAGCATGAGCTCTCTCATAAGGATCAGAGGGCATTAAAGGGGATTTGTCCTTCCAAACTTCATCTATGTACTGAACAATGATGAGGGTTTCACATATTGGTTTTCCATTGTGGATCAAGACTGGAATTTTCTTGTGAATTGGGTTCATTTGTAGGAGAAGAGGGGTTTTGTTCAACAAATCCTGCTCCTTGTATTCATACTGTATGCCTTTCTCAGCCAGGGCAAACCTAACCCTCATCCCAAACACGCTTACATAGGTATCCAAAAGGACAACTTCATCTGCCATTTTTCTGCTGAAAATTAAGGATTGCTTGACAAAATTGCAAGATAATATTAGAGTAGAATATGTTATCTGTATGGAAGGTAAGTCATACTGTCATAGTGCTATATATTAAAAGGGAACAAGAGGTTGTACAAAGTTGATGTCGAGTGGACCATGCTAGAAAAGTGTCCACATAAATATGTACGGAGTATTACTTTTTTATTATTATCACTAGGAAACTCGTTAAAACTTATCATAAAAGAAATAATCAGTCAAAATCAAGAAAAAATATGAAAATGCTGCATCAACATGTAGATGAATAATTATTTTTATTCCTTTCCATAGAGATACTCCACTAGCTAAATAGACGAAAGAAAAAGTTATTAAAAGGAAATTAAATTATGTGAATTTTGAATTGAACACGACGAATGTTTATCAGAGAAATTAAAAGACTAATAATAAAATCACGTATGTTATAAATAGAGTTTTATTTACGGTGAATGTCTATATTTAGAGAGATTGTAGGGTTTATTACTTGGTGGCTAAGTCACCATCTCCCTATAAATAGAGGGTTCTATTCCATTGTAATTCATCCCAAAATCAATAAGAATTCTCTCCCTCTATTTTTCTCTGCAATACTCTTCTTCTTTTATTGTTTCATAACACGTTATCAGCACGAGACTCTAACCAAGTGAGTAGAAGCTTTGGGATTGAGCATAATGATTGTCAATTGTTCCATGAACTTCCTTCATGATTAAATTCGGGATTTAAGGTAAGTATCTTACTTTATTTTTCTCTTTTAAATTCTTGAAATTCTATAATTTGATTTTATATACAAGCAAAGACAACAAAGTTTGATAATAACTCTAATGGAGTTTGAAAGAAATTATAACCACCCAAAGTGGTAAAATTTGTATGTCTTGCCATGATCAAATTCATGTATGATTATGGGCACAAAAAGTGGAAACCCGTCCCATTGAATTTGCTCCATTCTCATTCTCTTAAGAGAATGTGATAGCAGTATGTGATAAGTCTGAAAGAAGACAAAATTATCACTATGAATATATCAATGGATGTGGACGTGGCAATAGACGAAATTATAATCGTCATCATTGTGATAATGAGAATAATAAGGATTCTCAAAATAAACCTTCACTCTGTGAAAGTAATATTTGTTATCGATTTGACACGAGAATTTATAAAGCACATACAGATGACTATGGTCAATTCATGATGTGAATGTGACAACAACCGATTTATGAATACATATTCATTCTTGAAAGAATATGAACATGCTAGTGGTAGTGAATATACCACACTCACCTCTAGAAGGAGGTTTGAGATGATATAAGAAAATAATGTCATTATTATGGCTTGAATGGTCATTGGTCACGTACCTATTGTACGCCAAAATATTTTGGTAATGTGATTATTAAAGAATAACAGTAATGCAAGAAACAGATCTTGCATATAATTTTGACCATGACTATAATGGTATAACTTTCTCTTTAAAAGAGATATTCACCATATGGATGTTGATGAATATGTGGTACTACAAAATTAATTGAGAACTCTACAAGAGTCAATTATACTATTTTGGAGAAAAATAATTGATTACCAATAAGGTATTGTGTTTTAGTAAGTCTCAAAGAAACTTATTCAGTTTCCAAAGTATACGCGAAAGCGGTTGATTATATTGAGACTATAAATAAAGGAAAGATTTAATATCTTCTATTACTACAACTTGTAGTGGGATAATATGTATGTGAAAAGTTACCCGCTTTATTCTCCAGTTTGTACTACACAAACAAAAGAATACCACAATAAAGAGAAGTTTATTGATATAAAAACCCATATCATAATAAACCTGGAGTTTATTGATAATTGCACACGTCATGGTGTAAATCTGAGGTTTGTCAATATTGATAATTTATTCAGTTGGCATAATTGGTTTAGCCATATCAATTTAAGTATGATGTGCAAAAATAAAAGAGAATTCACATGGGTAAATATTAAAGAACTAGAAAGTTCTTTACGAATTCTCTTATGTTGCTTGTTCTCATTAATTAATAGACCAACTAAAATTGGGATTGAATCCCATGAATGCTGAAAATTTCAAAGGTAAATATGGGCCCATTCACCTGCCATGTATACCACATAAGATGCATCTATGAGAAGGTTACATGTGCGATTATTATTAACCCGCAACATGGTGTTTGCGAGGTAACTTGCTCAATAATTTAATTTCGAGCATAATTTTCAGATTTTCTATTCAAGAAGTTCATCTTGATAAGTTGGTTTACATCACAGTTGGTTTAGGAAAATGATTTATTAAGTGCCTCTACTTAATAGCTAAACAATTGGTTATGAGAACAAAGTTATCTATATCAGTTTGATATACGTTATATATGAAAGTATATTATTTTCTTCCCCCACAAGTAGTTCAGGGTCAGGAACCAAATAATTTCATCTTATTATTATTCATGTGCAGGGTATATTTTGATTAATACCATAACGCACAAAGATGGGTTCTCAAAGTTGAGGTAACAAGTTAGTTTATCTAACATGAGGGGAGACACGATTAACAGTTGAGAAAACGTTACATGGAATGAATTATCATTTGTACATCTAGATCCTCGAATAACATAATATGAACTTGAGGTTCATAAAAATATAATTCATCTGCAATATATTGCAAAGCATGCCAGACACATTTGCTGACCCAAAGAAAGTAACTATATTCTCATTGCAAATGCTCATATTAATCCCTAGAAGGACAAAGTCTATGGTACGCTTAAAGTGTATAGACAAATCGGTTTCAAATAAACTTCTTGATAAAGAAGATAAGCAAATGATCAAAATGATCATAATAAAGGAGGCAAGTGATCTAGAAGATCACATGACATAACACTTCATAAAATCTCATGAGAGATTCAGGTACCTGAATATATTAATGAAGAGATCTCTATGTTATGTCTTTATGAAAAATAAGGAGGTTGAAACCGATATAAAATGTTCGCCGACGACATCTATGATAGCGCTAAATATATATATATATATATATATATATATATATATATATGTGTGTGTGTGTGTGTGTGTGTGTGTGTGTGTGTGTATATATATACACATATATATATGAGGATCTTAAGTCTGAAGAAACAATTCAAATAGAATTGGTTTCATATGAAAGACATGTAGTTTTGAACATGTAGTTCAAACACTTAAAAATATAAAGTCAATGGTATGTGCAATCAGTTTTCAATATCTTATATGTCTAGCATGACATGAAAACTTGATATGCATCTAAAGTCTATTATATGGCTTATATGACTTAACTTATATGACAATCCATGAAAGATTTAAGTTGCTTGAAGCATATACAATTCTTGATCTTGAAGTACCACTTCCTCAGTGCAATTTGTGCACAAATGTATCCTGCTATAACTATATGCATGATAATATGATAGCAAGAGTTTTCACCTCTATGTGAAGATATTGAACTGATGATTCCAACAAGATCATATGAAGACAATTCATCTCTATCAAGAATGATGATTTCAAGGTGCAATATATTCATTCAAGTTAATATGGCTGATTTGTTCATCAAATCTCTACCAAAGATCTTTTGAAGATGGTGCACAAGATTGGAATGCAAATGCTCAAGGATGTGAATTAATGCTCTCATCAGGGGGAGTTAATGCGCGTTGCACTCTTTTTCCCTTACAAGGTTTTGTCCCACTGTGTTTTACTTTCAAGGTTTTTAATGAGGCAACCAAAAGGCGTATTGTTAGATATGTGTACTTTTTTTTCCTTCTCTAGAATTTTTTTCTCACTGGGTTTTATTTTAGTTAAGGTTTTAACGAGGCACATTATCTGTTGAATAGACATTCAAGGGGGAGTGTTATAAATAGAGTTCTATTTATGGTGAATGTCTATATTTAGAGAGATTCTAGGGTTTATTACTTGATGGCTAAGTCACCATCTCCCTATAAATAGAGGGTTCTATTCTATTGTAATTCATCCCAAAATCAATAAAAATTCTCTCCCTCTATTTTTCTCTGCTTCGTCTTATATTGTTTCATAACAACGTAAGCGATTTCGCAACGATTTTTCTCGTAATTTTTTATTTGAACCGAATGATGCCACGCTTCTAAGAGCTTACTAGCTTAAAACTTAAAAGTGGACAAGTATAACTCTTTTTCACTTCTATGGTAAAATTGCACTTGTGAGGATTCTAGTTTCTTCTTTTAAAACTTAAAACTTAAAAAGAAGAAAATAAAATAACGATTCTAGTCCTCTGCAGACCTACCACAAATTTCGTTGTTTGCTATTTTACCTTTCTACTTCTGCTTTTGATAAGGTAGTAAAAGTTAAATTTGGATTGTTTCAAAGTGTATATGATTTGTTGTGATTGAAAGTTCAAAGGTTGCTACATAAATTAAGAATAATGTTGGGTTATCTGCGTATTTGGCCTCAGGCCCAAAGTCGAGAACATGAAAGCTTGGCCTCCGGCTCAATACATATTTATTTGTACCAGGTTACCGGGTATGTATATAAAGAAAAAGGCCCGGAGGCAGCTTCACGTAGACTTCTTCATCCAAATCACCATGAAGGAATGCATTATTAACATCAAGTTGAAATAAAAACCATTTTTTCTTAACAGCAACAACAATAAGGCATTTCACTACTAGAAATCCGGAAAAAAGCGACCACAAAAAGCGACAAAAGTTGGTCGCTTACAGGTCAAAAAGCGACCAAAAAGCGTCCAAACTGGCTTGGTCGCTATTTTGCTGGTCCCTTTACCTTAGAGACCAAAGTTGGTCGCTAATTAGCGACCAACTTTGGTCTCTAAGGTAAAAGGACCAAATATTCCGGGTAAACAATATACCGACCAACTTTGGTCGCTTTAATATTTTAATAATATAAATTTAGCGACCAAAGTTGGTCTCTATATTTAAATTACATTTTTTTAATTTATTATTAATCAAAATATAGCGACCAACTTTGGTTTGTAAACCAAATATTATATTTTAAAATCTGGAAAATAGCGACCAAAGTTGGTCTCTTTTTTTTTTTAATTTTTCTTAAACATAAGCGACCAAAGTTTATCAC